AAATCCAGACAATCGAAGGGAACGCACAGCTCTTCTGTCTAGTCTAGGACAGGGTAGCCTCGTAGCTATAGTCCAGTAACTTCAGTCCAAACTTTTGAACAGGTGAGGAGATTGACACGCAGCCCGCAGACGGACAAGAACCGCTTTTCTGTGCTATCATTCGTGAGCGCGCTTCGTGCTTTCCAGAACATTCCTGCTTTGCAATAGCGCCCATCTGGCTCCTCCGTAATCATTCCGAGCTGCGCGGGAAAGGATAAGGGGGGCCGGCAGTATTGTAAGAGGCCCCTGGCCAGCCGTTAGCCACAGGGCTGAAAGCTGTGCGCCCCTTTCTTCAGCAGGTATTAGGAAGCAGTTGTGGTGGGCACCCCAGTGTCCTCAGCTGGGCGGAGGGGCGCAGGGCAGCCTGTAATGCCAGGGGCTCGTCAGCACCCACACTGTGCAGTGTTTGTACAGCTTTGACAATCAGCTGAGAGGTCCAGGGGAAACTTCGCTGGCGGCCTCTCCGTTTAGTGCCTGGCGGCTTCCAGGAACACGGGGATCGGGGATCACAGAGCTAGCTTCCCATCCCTCTGGCACGTCTCCCTGCCCAAAACTTTGGAAACGTACAAGAAAGCCCTTTCCTCTGACATGAGTGATGGCGTCTGCCCTGCACGTTGAACAGGGCTTCGTGCTGTGAATGGTGGAGCAGGCAAGGGCAAGCACCCCTCTTGAGCAGGGGGTGTGGCCTCACTGCTGCCCTCTTTGTGATGTCACGGTGATGTCACTCCCAACTGTAGCAGCAGGGGAGGAAGGGTGATGTCATAGTTCTAGGAATCCCATGGCAGGGACACAGCTTGGGGATGGAGGTATTGACAGGCAGGTCAAAAACGAGGAAGACGCCGATGGCCAGGGCACAACGCGGAAACAGACCAGGGAACGCTTGCTGCCGGTTAAACCTGGATCAAGGGTGCCTTCTCCCGCATCGAAGGGCAGACTGGGAGTTCCAGCAGTGGTTCTAAACTTTGCTGTGCTTTTTTGTGTTTGTTTTTATACATGTATATTAAAAGAAGAAAAAA